TAACTTGATTGACACAATGACGTAATCTGATGTCATTGTGACGTCATATTGTTGAATTTATTAGCAAAACCACATACCAGCTAACACATAAATAATCTTTAACAATAGCAGTGATGTCATGATGACGTCATTTATTTCAAAAAAGGAACTGCAAGCATCGTCCATCTTGGAATATCCGCCATTTTGAATTATTTATATTTATTTCATTTTACTGAAAACACGCATAAATCGAGGTATTTTTAACAGAAAATGTAATCTGAGTATAAAAGGATGCTTTAAGGAAGCAAAAAAGTCAGCAAAATATGAAATTCCGAGAGAAATGAGCACTGTTGAAAATTTGACTCAGCTCTGCCATTTTGACAAATCAAACTCAAAACGCAAATTTTGACAAACATAGATGTCAAAACCCGGTTTTCATGGTAACATCATTGTTGAGTACTCGTCACGACGATTTTAAAATGTTCCCAGATAAAATTTACGAAAAGTCGCTAAGTGTGGTGGTCCTAGCTTGAAGGGTTTTGAAGTTATTCAACATTTTAGCGAGGGGTTGGGGGCTTAAAAACCCCTTCGGTCTGCATAGGATTAAATGTGTTCAGCAAATCTAGAGTCGGTGAGGTTTGAAGATCCCATTTTATTTTATTTTTTTTTTAAATTTTTACAGGTACAACTTTTGTTCAAATAGAAGATGCTTAGATGTATTCTGAATTCCAATGAACTACACTGTATTCTAACAATGGGGCGATAAGTGGGAGAGATGAGACGGTCATTTCATCGGTCTGTGCTCTATGCAAAGTTTTCCTAGGAACAACGTGAGTAAAATTGAAATAATAATAATAATAATAATAATAATAAGGGGGGGGGGGGGGGGGGGAGGTGATTTTGAAAAAAAAATTCCTGCAAGCGCTTGTCGGAAGAAAAAAATTGCATGCAGCACAAATGTAATAGAAAGCTTATGGGAAAAAAAGGGAAAAAATATCCTGCCCACCAGATTGCTAGAAAAAAAAATTCTTGATGACCAGAAATCACCAAGCCCCCCCTCCCCCGTCAAAAGTTAAATGGTTGGCCCCTTAGTACACGTGTTAGCGACAACCGGAAATACGTCTGCGGTCGCAGGCTATACGGGTGTGTAATTGCACGAAAATTCAAGGGCCTCCATTCGAGAGAAATTACATCATTGCCAGAAATAAAAAAAAACGTGATGGGAACATGGGGCATCATTTCAATCATCCCCGAAAATAAGCCGCATGCTCATCACAAGACTCATTTACATTCAATGAAAGTTTGCAACACTCCCGATCGAAGTTTTGCTAATTAAGATTCTTCTTTCTTTTTTCGACCACCGAAGTGGTTACTTGTTCCAAAGTAATCAACGCTTTCAAGCGATAGAATTCGTGGACAGACCCGTTCCGGAAAAGCTCTTAACGTAAGCTTTCCTCGCAAATCATGCGTGGCTTCGGTCACGCAACGATTTCTCTACCCAGTTTCCACGGAATCCACTAGGAACGCCTGGGACCATAACCGTCGTTTTTTTGTACTAAATATGAAAGAAAAAAAGAACGGCTTGCAGATTATGAGTCTCGCTGCCTACGCAAGCGAGACTAATAAATCAGTTTACCCAGAGAATTCTGCCTTATCATCAATCCTTTGATCTCGGTAGTGAGCTACCTATTGTGAAGCGTTTTCAAATGAAGTCACGGCGGCTATATTGGTGTTTCAAAAGAATGAAATGGCGGCCATGTTGGTGTCCCAAGAAATTCTTGAGGGAGTCAGACTCTTTCCTTAATGTAAACACTTTCTTTTGTTCGAAGAAATTAGCATACTGAATGCTGCCCACTTGAGTGAAAACGCTCTGTTTGCATCTCTCAGCAATCAGTAGACGTAAAAAACACCTCCGACGCGACTCTAACCCGCAGTGATGGCATTTACTGCTTAGGAGGCAGATGTGTCATCCATTACGCTAATGGAGGCTACGGTCCTTACGTTTGCTCAAAAGCTATTAATAAAATAATAAGCAGATGTCTTACTAGAAAACAATCCTCTCAGACCATTGGCGTGACAAGGTTTTTTGTGATCATAACATTAGAGGGCTAAAACTAGTGCTTTACAAAACTTGGAAGTCGCTGGCGATATTGCCCTACCAATGACTTCCTTTTATAGAATACAAAAAGAAAAAAAGTAATGGAAGCCATAAGGAGATAAGGTGCTTGTATTTACATCGACGTTATTTACCAAGGATGAGATCATATTGCCTGCACATGCAAACGGGCGCAGCATTGTTAGCCAACAACTCCCAACATTGTTAGATTTTACATGTTGCGTCGGTTTGCGCACCCGGTTGCATGTTGTTGCGTAGTGTTGGGAGTTGATGCGCAAAGTCTGAAACCGGTCAAACGTGCCAACGATGTGTGGACTACAGGCAGGCGATGCGTAACGTAAATGTATCAGGCGTGCTTTTCCCTTCATTTCCAAAACAAAAAAGGAAAAAGGACCGCCTGATCGCAGGTTAAACAAAAGGTTGATGTAGGATCGGTCAGGGGTCGATAATGCGTTAGAATGTGTGCAAGGCGTTCGAATGGGAAAAAGGAAGGGAATTTTGGGCGCGCTATCTACAATAGTTCGTTTTGGGGTTGCAAGGGCTTGGAGATGTTAATTCGGTAGGAAGGCGTGACTTGAATTCTTGCAATCGAATTCTTATGAGAAAAAGATGTGACGCGCGGCCTGTGGTCAAGGCCAAAGAACGCAAGAAGTGACAAATAACTTGCTCCCTGAAAGTTCTTTGTATCAGTCCCTTATGCGTGGAAGTCTTGCAGAGTTTACTTTTAGGTATTGTTCATAAACTGTGCTTAAAAAATTCTCAGCAGAGGTTTGAGTATGGGATGATCGTTTAACCAGTAACATAGTTGAAACTTAAATTCAGCAATCATCGATCACTGTTGGCCGGGGCCAACTAGTTACCTTAAATGATAATTATCAGCCTCTTACTATAGTTCTATCCACAGCGTCCCCACCAAAAAAAACCGTACGATCGTGTTCCTTTGACACAGTGAAGGGAATGAATGGAAATATTGAAGTAAAAGAGTAATATCCTGAAATACTGCCATGAATATTGCCTTGTGTTGTCAAAATAAACGTGATCTTAGATCAGATTTGTTGACCTTTTGAGCAAAACACCCGAGTTTTCTGTCTATATAGAGATTTACGAAGGTTCGGCACTCCAGCGAAGCGGCCAGACTGATCCACCGAAGGAAAACGGCTGTAAATTCGCTCCAACTGCTCCAGTCGCCTCCAAATTCGGCCTAGGTAACACACACGATACTTCTCCTTTCCATTTGATATCTTGCTTCAAGACGCCTTTACACCAAGAGCGAATCAAAGGTCGCAAATCTTTGCAACCTTTCCTATCTGAAGCCATCGACTGAACCTTGGTTTGAACTCCGCGTTACCGTTGAAAGATAGCGACACGGCCTGAGACTCAAATTACTCACCACACTCGGGGTGGGACACAGTTTCTTGCTCCCGTTGTTTTCTTTCTCAGGTATTGATGTCAACGGGAGCAAGAGACTGTCTCCCACCCCGAGTGAGAGTAATTTGAGAGTAATTTTTATTTTATTGAAATCCTTTCATTTTCGTAGGTTACACAAACGATAGGTTTTTTTTCTCATACAAATCCTTATATTTCGATTGTTGCGCAACAATGCCGATGTTCGCCGATGCTCATATTTCGAGCTTCGGCTACCTGTGGTTCCATGCACAGTTTCAGTTCGATTTACACAGCTTTAATTTGATCAAAACATTCTCAGTTTCGAGAATAGTTTATTCTAAACCATAAGAAAAGATTTAATTAAAAGTTGAATTTTTCACTATTTCGCTTCTCTTTTTACATTCAGTTCATTTTATTTGCCGGAAAGTAAGCCTTAGAAATTAAAAGGACGTTTGATCAATTCACGCTCGCACATTCTAGCGGAATGACATCTGTCAGTCAGCATAGAACTTGATTGTCGGCGAATTTCTGTCAGTAATAGTCCATCGTTCTACTAGTGATAAGCTAGCCGTTGTTCACTCGTCTTGTTCCGGTCAAAGAGAGAGAAAGAGTGTCTGGCAAGGTTTCCAATCAAAGATTTGTGAACTCGTGTCTGGCAAACTCTCCAAGTGTTTATATATACACAGTTATACGCTCCTTATAACTTCATCTAACGCGTGTCTTTTGGTCCATAACTTTCAAAACAACTGCTCCACAGAATATCACTGATAACACGTAACGCAAAACATGCAGTATCGAAGTATGACTGCACAATAAATGTCACAAAATCTACCTAAGAGGTCCCTTCCGGATTGTCTGTCTTTACGTCATCCTAACCATTTCGTACTTGAGGGCGCAAACAATAGAAACGTCATCATTACCTACCGATTCCTCGCGGCCCCTTTCAAGCATATCGAGATTTTTCTGGCATACTTGTACTAGCTGTATATTTCAACTGTAAGTACTTTTTTTAATATACGCGCGAGTTACTAGAGTGCCTCCTCGGGATTTTGTCTTCTGGGCGAAATCCCTGTGGGGGCAATAAATGTACTAAGAGGAAACGATGACACAGTTTATATAGGTCCCCTTTGTTTATGGGCCAACTCAGCATAAGGCTGCGTGTACCAGCTTCAAAATGGATATGGGCACAAAAATGGATCGTGGTTCAATCAGAGAGATATAGTCAGTCCTCTTTGACCGGACACTACTATAGTCCTTATAACGCTGATTGTCACGATAATCATCAAAAGCCTAAATGGTTGTAAAAATTGCCTACAACGTCCTAAGCAAATCGAGCTCATCACACAGCAAAGCATGCGCAATTAACTATAATGGCGTACATAACGGGAAGATTCGAGGAAGATACATAATTACATACAATTATTGCAGCAGTCTCCTAATCATAATTACTCGTCAGTGATAATCTGCTCACAAGCTGAAGAATAACCACGAAATTTATTTTACATTGACATGGTATTAATCAAAAGAACAATGCACATTCGCAACATATAGTAATTTCCTGCTGGTAAGTTTTATATTGATCCAAACCTACTCTCTGTACGAATGTTTGAGTCACGGAAGAGTTTTTGCACTCGCCTGTCACGTAACCTTGTCCACAGGACTGCTGTCCTCTACACACCATTACGTTAATAAACTCGGGTATCTTGTCAGGACCTAGATCAGTTCTAGCCGGACAAAGGTCACAAAGTCCTTCTGTTTTAGATTCACAAGAACCTCTTGAGGTTGTAATGGGGGAGGACTGGCCCGTTGACCCTCCCGTCCAGTCGCTGTCACTTGACTCGTCCCTTCTTACTCTACTTCTATTAGTCTGCACAAGAACTTGAGCGGATTCCCGAGTAATGTTGTAGATTTTCATCCTTCTCAACATCGTGTGGTAGGACACCAGGTTGGGAAATTTATCCGCTTCTGCTTTGGTAAAGGCCATGTAGGCAGGGTTGAAGTAGCCCAGTGGGCCTGGCTTTAATCCCAAAAGTTTGAGGCCTTTTGTTAACTCTTCACCATTGCGTGGAACTTCCCACTTCCAAATCAAGCCGCCGAAAAGAACAGGTAGATAAGCAGCCAAGAAAACTAGTCGAATGGTCATCTACGGAAAGATAAGGAAAATGAAAAACATTTTAAAATCCCGGTGCAAATCTAACCTTAGCGAATACAGTTGACCCTATAGATAACTCAAACCCTCGCTATCAAATTCATTTTTGTTTCCCTTCAGATCATTTCTATACAATTCTATCCTCGGAACCTCGAGCCATGTTTTGAGCGCGTTACAAGTCGAAAAAAAGAGAACAAAACCGTGCTTTGAAGTCCGAAACCAGCATTGAAAAACCAGAACACTAAGAAAAAAGAAACAATCAAAACAACTTCGTGTCACTCCAGTTCAAATTCAGTGTACATCAATGTATATCAATCAAACTTTGTTGCTTAATTCCTTTTTCGAAATGTCAGGTCTCGCTGCCTTGAAGAGCATTCCCTCGCCATCTATTTGCTTATTTCCTTAATCCCAGTTATTTGCTTGGAGCTCCCAATAACTGGATCGAACTCGCGCTAAGTAAACTCGGACTTTTTTCGGTTTCCCTAGAAGGTTCGAGTTATCGCGGGAGTCGACTGTAAAACCACACACACACAAAAAAGAAGTGCTCTCTGAGTACTGCTTTGCGTGATTCCCTATTTTCTTGTAGGTTCTTTCATGACAGTCCCAATCATTAGTGAAAATCGAGCAAAGTTTGCTATAAAATAAAGTGTCCTTCATAACCTGTGATGAAAAAATTCTCACGTGAAGTTAATATGGGATATCCGTTTACCCACTAACAGCTATAACTGAAATTGAGAAAACATCGATCTCTGATATATCTCTGATATATCTCCATGATATGTCAACCTCTTATGTACATAAGTTCAAATCTACCAACAGTGCCCAAAAATTAGCTGTTCGATCACGCTCATTTGACAATGTTTTGGGAAAATCTTGCACACCGCCGGTAGATCAGTAGGATAGCAATATCCCTCCTGAAATACTCAGTGCCATAAATATTGCCTTGTATTGTCCAAATAAACGTGATGTTGCCTCAGTATTGTCGACCTTTCGATCTTAAACGCCGAATTCTCGGTTGGTTTGAGTGCAAGGTCTGATACGTTGGCCGTTTCAACCAAATTCGCCGTTTATCCTCGAAAGATTTAGCAAAACGCATTATGATGAAAGTAAGATCATCATGTTGTCATAAACAGATCATCAACGCACTATTTCAGGAATTTCTAGCCAATGGGAATCACCATAATTATATATCCTATATAAATGTACAAAGAAAGAGGCTATGACCGCACGGTTTGTACAGGTACCCTGCGCCTATTAAGCTATTTCGAGTAAGAAAAAAAAACATTTTTAACTTATAAACCTATTGTGCGAAAGATTAACTGTGCGGTGAACCCCACCCAGAAGCGGGAAAAGATTTTAAGTTACGCCAAAGCCTTGATCCTTTTCGGCGAATTAGCTTATAGAAATTGATAAGGACATATTTTCTGCTAATGGAATCAAGCTGCCTTTTTATTTTTGATGCAATAATAGGCAAAGGCTAAAACTGCATTTTTTATTTTATTTCGATCTGGAAAGAGTCGTAGATGAACAGCGAAACTGTCAGTCGACTTTTCCACAAAAGGCATGTTAATAGATTAAAGGCTTGTAATTCTGGTAGGATTGGTTAGAATTTTCAAAATGAAGTACCTGTACGGTAAAAAGATCTGTCCCCTTCTGAATTCGCTGCTCGCCAGCAGCTCAGTTATACAAAACTGAAATAGATCTGTTGTGCAGTAATAACTGATCTTTGACCGTTATTCGTGGAAGAAGTTTTAGCTTGAGTATATATTAACCCACTAAATATATATGAAACTATGAAAAATTGGACCTGTACGTATATCGACTCAAAGTAGACGTTAAATCTGACTATAACTCACTGTTATTTAAGATGGTTACAAATTCTTCAATGTACGTATTGTTTTCCCTTGTATTCCTGGAGACCCCTACTGCTTGTTTAGGTGATTAAACTGACTCTTCGTGGGTATTACCACAGGTTAATATACCCTTACTCAAACAAGGCTATCTATATTATACCTTAAACATATTTTTGTCGTTGTCAAGGTAGAAAAGAGGGCTGAATTGATTATCCGCTCTTCGATCAGTCTTTTCTTCAACCTTAAACATCAATATTCAGTTTTGGAAACTGAGCATAGTACTTCCTTACATTAATTATCTGTACACGAATGACAAATCACCTTAAGACGTCCGCTTTTAATATAAATAATAATATAGAATAAGGTTAACAAGAATATTTGAAGTTTGCAAGCGATTAACAAAAAGACAGATATATTGAAACCTTCAAGGAGATAGAGGGAAAAAAGCAAACTTTTACAATGTTATTTACACTGAAATAATTTCTGACTCAGTCCGCTTAGCGGATAATGCACCTGCCTGCTCAGGGTGAGGTTAGTACTGACCAGGTACACAAAAAAGGTCTAAAAAAAATAATTATATGTTGTGATTGCACTGCCTTTTTTGACTTCGACAAATGGTTAGACATTCATAAGTATGAAAACCGTTGTCCAAACGAAAAAAATTGTCATACGCTGTGTTTGTATTGTTGTAAAAGGTCCACGTCAATTCAAACTGCCATATACTTGACCTGTTTTGCACGTGATCAATAATATGATGAAATTATCATGTATCGTTTTTTTCCGTTGACGTTGAATTTGAGTTATTCTTTAGCTGCGAAGACTTCCTGGAAATTAGTTGTGATTTCTCTTGGCGACGACGACACCGTCTTAAATCTTATGTTTAAGTGAACTTTTTCGAGAATTTTGACAACAATTCTATGTTGTTATAGAAAATAGATGGTTTTCACAGTGACGTCATCAAATTGTAAAGTCAAAATAGCGAGGTTTTACGAATTCTTATTTACACTCGGGTTTAAGACAAACAAAAAAGAAATCTTTGTACGAGTTTCCAATCCCATAGCATGTTTCATTTCAAAAATACTGCAATTTGAACTTTCGAGTTTTCACAGTGCGTGACATCAAAATGGGAATGCTGTCTCGTTGAAATAAACCTCTGTCCTCTTGATTTTCAGCAGTATAACCTTTTCAGGTATTAGAAGATATGTTTATGTGCACGTATGCTTGTTCTCGAGTGAAAAGAAAGAGCTTTTATAGATAAAGTGAATTCCAGATGTTTTTGTTGATTTCCGGCGGCCATATTGGTGCACCAAAACGGTACACCAATATGGCGTCTCCATACAAAGCTCTACAAAGGTGCATGAAACGTTTCGGCAAATAACTCAGAAACTGTAGGCCACAAAGACTTGAGACTTGGACAAAAAGTTTATATATTAGTCTTTTATGACATTTTATTTTCTTGGCTCCTTCCACTGGACGGTTTCCAATTTATTTTTTTGTTGCGTGACATTGAAAACAACTTATAGCTCTTGTTGTTAAAAACATTATCACAGGGTTAGTTAAATATATTAGGACAGCGTCAGCTGCGAAAAAAGTTATATTACACAGGAGCGTAGCCAGACCATAGACCTGTAGGCTCGTTTTGGTTTGATCACGCTACCGCTTGTAACAAATTATGCGTTGTTGGGGTGAGTTAAAAAGCTTAAGAGCTCAAAGTGTTGGTGAGGTCAGTGCGTACTACATCGTAGTCGTGCGTGCAGTTTTCAGGATATGTGGAAATAAAAGTCAACGAGGCCTACAACTAGTCGAAAAGCTGGCTACGCCCTTGTTACTTATTAAACAAATATGCTTCTATAGTATATAAATGGTGTTTCGATATAGTTTTTCAGAGGCCATACCAATATTTTTCAATCGCTTTAAAAGTGATTTTATCCTTGTCTGATCGCTATAAAATTTTCACCAATGTTTGACTATAAATTTAAATTTGTCAGAATGTAGGTTTTAGTAAAATCGATATTACTATGACTATAATAATAAAAAAAACTTTGAAATTGATAAACGCCTAATTTTGCGCGATCTAGACCAGCTACTGAAAATCCGGCAACACTAGGAACGTAAAGTTTGGTGTTTAGCAAATACACTCCGTAAGAAGGAAAAAAGTCTGTATGTTTGAATTCGACTAAAACGAAAATGTATTAACCTTAAATTTTCAATAGCCGTGATAAATTATTTAGTAAAAACGTTATAAATGACTCAAATTATTCTTAAGTAGCGTCAGAATGCTGCTGAATATCATATTTCGATGCTAGGAAATTTTGGTGTATTTTCAACTTCAATCCAAACTTCATTCCAAATTTGGACTTTTAGCGCTATTTTGTATCTCTCTGAAACGACTCGAACGAATTTTTTAAAAATACCTTCACATAATCTTCATAACGTATGTAAGAAGGTCTGAAGCTTTCACAGAGATTGATTCACTGCAACATGTTAAACTTTCAAGACAAACCTATCCTAAGAACCTGTCAAAAATCTGCGTTACAACATTTACTGTTAAACGTTATGCTAATTTTTCCAAAATAATGCGTATATCCATGACGAGTACATTTCAGTGTGAGGATTGTCAATGTTTTACATTCAAAAGATGCGCTAAATTCAAACTAAAATGTACTGCTCATGGAGGTATGAATAGTGCGCATTATTTTGGAAAAATTAGCATAAAGTCAAACAGTAAATGTTGTAACGCAGATTTTGGACAGGTTCGTAGGATAGGTTTGTCTTGAAAATTTAAGATGTTGCAGTGAATCAATCTCTGTGAAAGCTTCAGACCTTCTTACATACGTTATGAAGATTATGTGAAGAGATTTTTAAAAAATTCGTTCGAGTCGTGTCAGAGAGATACAAATTAAAATAGCGCTAAAGTCCAAATTTGGAATGAAGTTGCACTTAGACGGGTAGTGAGTGAAAAGGGTTAGTTTTGAAGATCGCAAAAACGAAAATACACCAACATTTGCTAGCATCGAAATATGATATTAAGCAGCATTCTGACGCTCCTTAAGAATGTTTTGAGTCATTTACAACGTTACGTTTTTATTAAATAATCTATCACGGCTTTGAAAATTTAAGGTTTGAAATATATTTTCGTTT